TAACTGCCTAGGGACACATGTCATGTTCTTAGAGTAACATAAATAAATCTAACCAAAACTACAATAGGACTTCCTTGTAAAATTTAAGTTGATGCTGAAATTTATGTGAAAGAACAAGAGAAGATCTCCGCTATTTTTAAAAAACAAGGCAGGGAGATTTAGGAAAGATAGAAAATTTAAGGATGATAATAAGTGAGATTAAATGTTTAATTATTTCCACAGGGCTGGACACATGGCATAATGAAATAGACTAGAAAGTCCAGAGAGAAACCCTTGGGTAGCTGGCAACATCATTTGGGACAGAGTTAGAGGGTTTCTCAGTAGGTGATGTTGATGGCTATGCACCTCAACCTCAAAATAATAGAAAAAAGTAGGGGCCTCCCTGGTGGTGCAAGGGGTTAAGCACCACACTATGAAGCAATTCACAGCCTCTGAAGCACTAGTTTGATCCCCTGGCTAGCCAGGGAGCAGCAACCCACATGGCACAGCAGACCTCTCCTGTCTCGCCCGCTGCTCCCCTCAGCAGTGTATTTCAGTCAGTCTGCCTGTTCTGCTCCCCACTCTGTCTCTGGTGAATCCTCTCACCCCTGGTATCTCTGGCCTGTACCCCGGCTCTTGTATGCATAAATAAATAAATCTTTAAAAACAAATAATAGAAAAAAGTAGTTCTTGGTGAATTTGACTTCACACAAATAACAAAGCATCCAAGTCTTAAAAACAATATAGAACTTTATGAACTCAGTATAGGAAAGGATGGCTCAAATGAGACACAGAAATCACAGACCTTATAGGACAAGGTCATAAATGTGTTAACATTAAAATAGAAAACGTCATTAATCCCAAGATGCTCAGCAGAGTGAAGACACAAGCCACAGACTCCAGGAAGAAACTGCTAATACACATACACACACAAGAGACAAAAGATATTTCATTGAGGAAGAATTCCAAGTGATTTACAAACAAATGAAAAGATACTTAAGTCCAATATAAATTTGGGAAATGCAAATTTAAAAGACAATCACAGCCCCTTTCACACTCATTTCATGCTAAACATTCTCAAATATTAGCAAGAATGAGGAACAACCAGAACTCAACCAGAAGTCTAGACAGGTAGAGCGGGAAAGCATCTCATGTCTTCAGACCCCCATATTCTCAAATGGCAACTCCCCATCATAGATGCGTCCTAAGGAAGATGGACATGTATGCGCCAGCAGCCACGCAGGAACGGATAGAAGCACTATGTGCAGCAGCACCTTCTTCAGGATCATTGTCTCTCTCCCATCCAGTTTCTGAGACAGTAAGCCTGGCTTTGCAGCAGTGGTTCTCAAAGTGGTCACAAGGGCAAGTTCATGCCCCACCCTAGGCCTCTGTATGAGCAACTCTGAGGTGGGACCCAGCAGTCTGTTCAGCAAGCCTCCAGGGCATGCTCCCTTTCGAGAACCATTGTGCTTGAGGAAGTGACTCAGCTCCCCACCTCCCCTGCTGGCCCTTCTTTCCTGCCAAGGCTCTTCTAGCTTCCCAGAGAGAGTGGCACTTCCTCTCACTGGAGAAAGGTCACTTCCAGGGGCCAGTAAGAGTCTCCTTCCAGGGATCCCTGCTCAACTCCACTGCAGTGGCTGTGCAGTGGGTGTGGATCTGCAGTTAGGATCGGACTAGATCCCTTCACTGTGCTTTCTCTGTTCTGTGCCAGCTGCATGAGCTCTGGTAGAGTGTTTTGGGCAAAATCAACATGGGAATATATTCTTAAGGGGGCCTACACACCAGGGGACTTTCAGATGGACTCTGAAACACAAAGCCACTCACCTTTTAGTCTCTGCTGCCAGGAGATTTTCATTTCTCCCTCTTTGCAGATTGAGTCCCTGTTTCAGCAGCCTGGCTGAAAGGGGGACAGGCAGCAGGCATTTCTGAGTCCATGTCTCTGGGTCTGGAGAATCTCCTCCTCATCTCCAAGCTCACTGGAGGTGAGCAAGAGCAAAACAAATTCCAAGTCCAGCCTGGTACATCTCTCCAAGCTGCATCCATTGTTTTCTATTTCATTCTAACCCTCCACCCTCACCCTGCATCACTTTTTGTGTGAATCATTCACTTTGAAAGCTACCTACCTGACAAGAACACGTGCACCACAGCCTGAAGCTTGATGGCTCCACATGGAGCATTTTGGGGAGTAAGGAGAAAGACTGTATCCTGGCACATTGTATCATCCACCACGTGGGGCACAAGTACCTGACCCTTATATACAGACTCTGCTTCTGAAAAAGCTAGTGCCAAATCCTTGTGGAAAGAGGTGTATCAATTACAAAACACAGTGTGCTCTGTGATGGAAGGGAAGCAGCTGGTGTTTCTGAAGTGAGATGGTGTAGGGACGATACACTGGCTTTGGTGTCTACTGAATTTGGGTTTGGGTCTCAGTTCTGCCCTCATTCTGGATGTGTGACCCCCAAGCTAGTCACTGAAGCTTAGTGTTCATTCTCACTGGACCATCAGGGCTGAAGGAACACCCAAGGAGGGTTTCTGTGCAGAGTAAATGAGCTAACACAGAGAGAGCTCTTTGCATAGTACATGCTCAATAAAACATTGCTATGCTGGTGGCAAGAACTGACACTAACCTAAAGGGTCAGACCGGATTCTCAATGGCTGAATAAGTGCAGGAGTTCAGGCCCTTCCTAAGGAACATGTGCAGGTTTTGATGAGGAAAGCTACCAGTCAAAATTTACTTCAGGAGGATGTCTTGGTGTGAAGGACCCTGGAAAAAGGGAAATTAGGGATGAAACTTATGACTTGCTCAGACTGCTTCTAGGGAACTAGCATGGAACCGGGAGCAATGGTAGATTAAAAACTGACAACCTGATGAAATAAGAAGTGGGGGAGGAGGTAGAGGAGAAGCTGTCATGGGAATGTTTCCTGGGGAGGGCGGGCAAGCTGAGCGAGCAGGCTGTGTACCAGAAGAGAGCGCGTGCTCTAGGGAAGGGCTTCAGCCTCAGTGAGACCAGAAGATTTTAGAGAATACAGCAAAGACTGGGCCTCCCTGGTGGCACAGCAGGTTGAGCGCAGCACTGTGAAGCTGTCCGCAGCCTCCCCAGTGCTAGTTCCATTCCTGGCAGTCCAGGGGGAATCCCACATGGCACGGCAGACCCCTCCTGTCTCGCCCGCTGCTCCCCTCATAGTGTATTTAGGTCATTCTGCCTGTTCTGCTCCCCGCTCTGTCTCTGGTGAATCCTCTCACCCTCCTGTGCCTCTGGCCTGTACCCCAGCTCTTGTATAAATAAAAAAAATTAAATCTTTTAAAAAAAATACAGCAAAGACTAAGTCAACCCCATCCTACAGGAGCAAAACCAAGAAAATGGAGTAAAATCATCTGCATATTTATAGCAGAAGAGGAGCCTGGGTGGGCGGGATGAGGGTCTCAGGGAGGCTGGTGGCACAGAGCTCCTCCCTGGGACTCAGGTATCAAGACCATCCTCCAGGTACTGGCCAGGGTGTGAGAAAAAACACCAAGTACAAATGAGTCAGCCTTAATCAGAGGTGGAACCACACCTGGCTCAGCCCCCATTGAGGAAGTTTGGGGAAAAGAGGATTGGCATCTGGGGGTCTTTGCTGTCCATGAGGGGTTCAAATCCACAAGCACAGAATGCACTTAAGCCAGCCCTCCCAAGAGCACTAGCTCATGGTTCCACTTGAGCATGCTCTTTGAGTCACTGGAGAGGAAATTTAAACATCTGTAGGCAGGGCTGCTGCCCCGCACGGATCCTCAAGAACCCAGATTGGGAAACAGCACCTGAGCACAGTGTGATGGGCTGACCCGGGGGAGGTGTCCTCACAGGTCACTTTGCTCTGCCTGCCACTTATTGATGCCCAGTGTGGGAGGCTACCAGAGGGAGTGGGGGGGGGGAAGCAGAACAGGGAGGCAGGTTGGAGAGGGTGACATTTCTTTCTAAGTCTGTCAGTACCGAAAGGTAGGAACATGAAACTAAAACAATGTAAATCAGAGTGGGTGGGGAGCGATTGCTATAGGCCATGTTCCCAAAGCAGGGACACTTTCTAGGTAACTGACAGGGCAATTTCCATTCATTTGTATTTCGTAATTATGTGAAAATTGAGACTATTGAGGGGATAAATGAGTTTCAGTCAATATATATATTTTTTTTTTTGGCATTGAGTTATACCAAAATCTTCCTTATGATGATTTGACATAATAAGCATATAGGGCAGCTCTCAAAGCACTTCTTAATTTACATACAGTACAACCCACTTTTGGGAGAAGCTGTCCCTTCACTGGCATGCCACCTGCCCTCTCTAATCCCATCAGCAGCTGATGGGTTCCAGGTCCTCTTTTAACAGCTGCATGTGCTAGAAGGACTGAGGTTTCCTCATGATTTTCTGGCATAATAAAAATAGTAGCAACACAGTCATAGTCAAGAAATATGATGTACCATGTACCTGCAACATGCAAACACTGTTTGCAGCCCTTTACAGATGAGGAAACTAAGGCTTGGCGAAATTTGGTAAAGGAGAGGAAGGGAAAAAGACAGAATTCTGCCAGATTATACAGTGGCAGCCTCCTGGCTCTAGCCCAGCATATCTGACTCCTAGGTGTTTTCTTAGCCTCTCTCTGATTCTGCCTCCACGGGAGACACAGAAAGCAGGGCACAGTAGAGGAATGCCTGCCAGTTTCAGGAAGATCAATTTAGACCTTGGATTGCCTTACTCTAAAAAATGAACAACACTTATGTAAGAGTTTGGCTACCTATACCAATAAAACAATGTGTAGAAGATAAAATAAAGCAGGATTCTAGAACCTTCCTTTAAGCTTTAAGATATGCCACAAAGATGAAGCCCAGATGTCACATTCTCCCTCAGAAACATGAGGTTTTGTGATGGAAAGCTAGCTAGGTTTCCTGGTCAAATACTGAAATGCTGCCCCAATACTCTGAATGTCAACTTCCTCTTAACTTTACCAAAAAGATGCAATGCGATGTTTGATCATAAGTCTTGTATTTCAGGCTGGAGTCCCCAACCCGGTCTCTGGTGATGGAGGCCCCGAAAGGAGTAGAAATAAATGCAGAAGCTGGCAATATGGAAGCCACCTGCAGAACGGAGCTGCGACTGGAGTCCAAAGATGGGGAGGTAGGGATGAGGAGCATGAACAAGCCAACAAAGTCCCCCCAACCCTGAACTTGGCCCTACACTGTGGCAACGAAAGGAACCAACCAGAAGGCTTTGTTTCTGGAACGCATGTGTTCAACAACAATTATCAGTCAAACCCACAACATGGAAAAGTTTTCCATCATTATTTGTAAAGTCTCTGGCAGGTGTAGAATTCTACGTACAACTGTAAAATGCAAGGCTAGTTCTAAATTCTCTCTTGTGACACCTTAAAATAAGACTTAGGGGACAGCATAAGTAAGCTGTATGGCACACACGTCTGACTACAGATGAACTTAATTTACTTGTAGTGATTTTAAAAGTTTATGTTTCAGGTTTCTATTTTCATTGAGAATAGAGTGTCAGATTCAGCTGCTATTGCAAATGTGAACAAGCCACAGCTTAAATTGGGGAAAGCTAGGCAGCAAGATGATAAAAGATCACGGATATATTTGTGTTCTTACCCCAATATAATCTCACTTGGGTCTACATAATAGCTGCTTGTGTTTTTACGACCCTTGTAAGTCAAGTCCCCAAAGAAAATAAGATTCAACTGCAAACATTTTTTAATGCCTTCATCCTGTGTGTCAGCAAACTTTCCTATTTAAGATTTTTTTAAAGAGGAAAAATGTGTTTCTGTTCCATCTTTCATATCTATAGAGAGGTCATCCTTCTGCACCTGCCAGAGGCCGCTTCAGGTTTGGCATCTGCTCTATTTTTTATTTACAGGGCAAATCAGAGCACGGAGTGATGAGAACTGTCTCCTCCAACAGCCATGTACTCCCTACCACACCCATTTAGAAATGGGTGGTTCCATCATCATTGCAATTTATACCTATCAGACCCCACTCTGGAGGAATGGATGATAATCAGAACCGTCATTTAAGATCACAACATGACACCTAGGGCTCCCTGGTGATGCAAGGGGTTAAGCACCGCACTGTGAAGCTATCAACAGCCTCTGCAGCATGAGTTTGAGCACCAGCCAGGGAGCTACCCACATGGTGCAGCAGACCACTTCTGTCTCACCTGTTACCCCCCTCAGCAGTGTATTTCAGTCAGTCTGCCTGTTCTGCATCCCACTCTGTCTCTGGTGAATCCTCTCACCCCTGCACCTCTAGTCTACCCCAGTTCTTGTATGCATAAATAATCTTTAGGGAAGAAAAAAAAGAACATGACACCTGTTCTGGAAAACTTGCCTTACACAGACATATCTGTAGTACAAGTCCCATACTCAAGATAATGAACCTAACATTTCTAGAGTGATTTCTAGGACTCTACTCATATCCATATGGTCTAGCTTTGGTCAACACTAATCTAGACAGTACAGAACATAAGCCTCTGCAGGGGTGGGGACTTCATCTGTCCCATCTGCCCCGATCTCCCAGGGCCAAGCATGAACACACTGTGGGTGCTCTCACAATTTAAGTTCATTGTTCAGCTAGTGTTTGGGAATGTCAGGAAAGTGAGTGTCAGCCTCTAACTGGCCCTTTCCTTTCTGTTCACGCTCTCCAGATTAAGTTAGATGCTGCGAGAATCAAACTACCTAGGCTGCCTCACGGATCCTACACACCTGCAGGGAACAGGCAGAAGGTCTTCGAGATCTGCGTCTGCGCCAACGGGAGGCTGTTCCTGTCCCAGGCAGGAACCGGTTCCACTTGTCAGATAAACACAAGCGTCTGCCTTTGAAAGACTATCCATGGGGGACACGGACAGCAACATAAAAGCCTTTTTTTTTGGCTTCAGACACTGGCTGCCAGCTATTTTTACTAGAAACACAGAAGGCCTCTCAAAGACCTTGTGTGTGTGTGTGCGCGCGCGTGTGTGCTTGTGTGTGTACGTGTGCGTGTGCTTGCGTGGCTGGGTGGATATAAATATATATAAATATATATAAATAAATATATATATATCCTCTGTATAAAATGAGGTTTCAGTACAAAAGGAACCACGGGTGACCCTGTGATATCCTCCCTCATCTCCATCCCACCCCACCATGCACATGATCAACACTATCTCCACACGATTCTCCCTGATACCCCGCTGGCCCTTCAGAACCCCTCAGTGCTCCAGACACTTTGGACTGTTCCCCCACAGGGCTGAGTAATGGCCCATCTTCCTCTCCACTGCCATCACAGGTCGTGATGGCGGGAATCTCCAAGCCCCCCCTCAGGCGTGGGGATCTAGGCCATCAAAACAGAACTTTGGGTTCTTTTTTAGCTTGAGTGAGGCAGCCCACTTGTCCCTCTTCCAGTGAGGGCTGGGACAAAGCAGTAGAAATCACCCAGAGGAACTCAAAACGGCTCTGGTACCTTTGCAGCCAAATGTACAGAGGCTTCTAAGTTGGGTGAATGTCGAGGGTTGATTTTAGCCAAGTTGGAATGGCTCGTCCAACTCCTGCTTCCTTGCTTCCTTCAAACTCACAAATTATCCCTCAGTCCAAATAGGAGTTGTAAATCAGCACAAAATAGTGCAACAGCTGCTCCTCGGTTAGCTGGAAGCGGCTCGGCAGCCTGTCAGGCAAACGTAAATGGGTGGTATGTCTCTGTTTAAAGGGAAAAATGGCTCAAAATCCGTTGTGTCCTCATTTCTGACTTTATCTAAGAGATTCCAGCCCAAAATGATTGGTCCATCAAAATCTCTCAGAGCGCCACCCCATCCTCAGAGAAGCCCTAGGCAATGGTGTTAAGAGGAGCAGAGGGGACTAAATCTGTTTATGTTACTTGGAGTGGGTTGGTAATTTAGAGACATGCCTTTTGCTTTTAAAGGCAAAGGCTGGGTCTTCAATCTCATCTCTTTTTTTTTCAGTGTTGGGATATTCACCTTCCTAAATCCATCCCCCTTTATGAATAGGGAGTCAACTGCATTAATTTAAAGTCCGGCATGCTCCCAGAAATGCTAGCTGAGAATTAATAGAAATGGAGTCAAATTAATCAGATCCCCATGTCCTATGGGACCAGCAGCACCCGCACCCCCAGAGAGGAGAGCCGCTTCGCATTCCCGCCATCACAACCTCTCACCACACCACCTTCATCATCACCTCCAGGGTCACCCTGGCCAGCTCTTGTGCTGGGACAGGGGATTACACCATCTCTGTTCAAAGAGGGGGAACCGTGCCTATGCCTTAAGTCAATGCACTCAGCAAGGAGAAGCACATCCTATTTATCTTGGTGTTACCTGTAGTTTATTTTGGGTGATTGCAGGGGAATGGGTTAGTAACGTCCGGCATGTCTGCAAAGCCTATCGAAAATCATGTGACTGACGAGGTGGCCTCTGCAGAGCCCAGACTGGACACAACACTGGCTTGGATGCCATTTGGGCTGGGTGGCCCCATGATCCTAATTGAAGTAGTGTGTGTAGGCCTGAATGGCATTTGTTTTTTCCTCCAGGTTCTCATTTTTGTTATTCCCAAGCAGGGGGAAAATGGCCATGGGAGATGAGTAAGAGCTGCCAGATGATTGTCACCCACGCAACGGGCCAAGGTTTGCACACCAGGGATGGAGAAACAAGTTTTGTGTTGCTTATTCAAGTGACTCAGAAGGAGTGAGGGGTGGTGTCTAGCCTGGCCAGTGGCCCTGCTGGCTTCCGGAACCCAGACTCTTTCCAGTCACTAGTGTTCCATGACCTATATAGAAAAACTGGGTGTTTCAAGGGCAAGATCATAAGATCAATCTGCTGGCCATGCTAGAGTCTAATGAGAATAATCAAAGATATCAAGTCACTCTGGATTGGCATCATTTATATCCTGTAGGATCTTACTGGCAGAAGTGCATGGACCACACAACAGGTTCTGTCAATCCAAGAATATCCCTTGGCTCCTGGGAGGGTCTGCCCATAATCAGCCAGAGGAACAGGAGTAACTGTGATCCACTGTGGCAAAGTTTTTATAAGCAGACAGATCATTTTTGCATTTTACCATCTCAATACACAGCATGTAGGTGATAAGACAAGGAAAGGTTCCCTGAACCTCTTCTTCTGATTTTGTTCTAATTGTTACATGAAAGGCTGAGATCAGCACCTTGGGAATTTTATGTCAATGAGAAGGACTGGTGGAATCCCACTCGTAAAAGTTATTTCTAAATTAGAAAGAAAAGAATACCCACCACCCAGAATAGAAAGCAAGCACCCAAGGGAACAGACACTCTGATTTTTATTAGTGTGATTATGTCAGGTAATATGCAGGAATTTCAGCATGGATCAAATTATGTATTTCAGTTCAGATTTTAAAATTCAGTAAAATGCATTCTAAATTCTTCAATGTACATTTTTTCCCTCCCAACTTCCTCCAACTAGAATATTTGTCCATGGTCATGAAAGTTTTACATGAATTCTGGAAAAAATATATATATCTTTTGCATTAAAATCTGATAACCTTTAATTTTAAAAATCAAGATTCCTTCTACTCTTTATATGTAATATCTTCTAGACAGCCACACCTTTCAGAACATTAAGCAGCTGTGATGTAACAAAGCACTCCAATGAATCTCCTGTGTTCTAGAAGTTCTAGGGTGTTACTATTCAGCAGATTTTTATAAATTAAAACGTGATCTTCAAATATATGTTTAGAACTGAGTTCTATTTGTGATCTGCTCAATAAGTCATAGAAGTTCTAACTTGGGAATGTACTGGAGTTGGACATGGTTCTTCAAAAATTGGTCCCGGTGGCATGTATGTAGGTGAAACTAGATAATATGAGGCTTTTAGATTGCTATATTACAAAGGGAAAGACCTTACAAATTTGTATTGCCTTTGAACTCCCTGGGAGTCAGTTCTCCTTTGGATGATTTTCATTGTCTACACAGCAACCATAGACCAAAGATGGCTCAAGGTTTAACTCTAGAGCAGGGGTCAGCAGACTCTGGTCCCTATACCTAATCTGGCTCCTCACCTGTCTTTGTCACTGATGTTTCCCAGTCACACGGCCACCCCCTCTTGCTTCATGGTGTCTGTGGCTGACCACGCCCTCTAACAGAAGGGTTGAGTAGTTATGTCAGACACCTGCAAAGCATGAAAACCTTATTATTTGGCCCTATTGCAGAAAAAGTTTGCCAGACCCTGATGTTGAGTTGAGGCATGGGATATGCCAGATGCAGTGCAAAGGAAGCAAGCCTCACACAGCATGACGTAAGCCACAGTCCCATGTGTGCTTGCGAATAGAGATACTCGATTACAGAAAAGAAAGGCAAGCAGGTGTGTTAAAGGCATTGACTTGTCTGAGAAACACAGGCCTGAGGGATTCTTGGAGATAGACTAGTGGAAGGCTTAGTGGAAAAGGAAAGTTGTGATCCTCCAGGAGTTTTTCCAAAAGATCCTGACTTCTTAAGTGGTTCCCATAGTCAGTATCACATTTAACAGTCCTAAGTTTTCAATCTAGAATCTCTTTGCTCAAGAGACCATTTCTGCAAGCCTAGAGAGTTCCACCCCACCTTCACCTAGTCCAGAAAGATGCCTAAACCACAGACCTCCTGAGAATGCATCGGACTCAACAGTCTGTCTGGTGCTCATCACCCCAGTTATTGGCATTTCCACTGGACTTTATCATCCCAAGACCACAACAGGAGTGAAGGGCTGGTAGGACCAATAAATAATTAGAAATATTGGATGAAGCATCTTAAAGTATGTAGGGAGGAAAAATATATTAAGGTTCATGAAGCTGTTACTGGAAAGAATAAGATTAACATCCATTTAATGTTATTTCCAAGGATCTGGATCTTTGATCTTTGGTGTAAAGGGAACACACAAAAAGCTCTTGTTTGAATTCTGCCATCTGCCTCTGTATGGTAAGATCCATTGCTACCCGGCTCTTGTCACTTCAGTAGACATCCCCCTCTTAATCCAGGGCTTGACACTCATATTCAGTATCATTAAAATGGTATCAGTTGTGAGTCTTTGTAAGGATGAGTATTCACATTAGGAAGGAGAAGTTGGTTTGTTTTGTTTTTGTTTTGAGATTTTTTATGAAATCAGTCACCTTAATCAATCACCTTAAATCAATCACCTTATGAAATCAGCATCCCTTAAAAGCATCCTTCAACATTTATCTGCAATCAACCCAAGAGGAATTAGTTGGCAATGCGAACTCACCCTAGAATAGTTGAGAATACCTGATCATTTATTTTAGGCAAAGGTAGCATGACATTGGGACCAAAGAGGTAAACAGATCCCTGGAGGCACCTGATCCTTGTTTTTCACCATGAAAAGTGAATATCTCATTTAAGTTAGGCATAAACAAGGTCCATTTTCCCTGAACCAGGAAGTCTTAGACACAAAAAGGGCTAGCAAAGCAGCTCCTGAAAGGACACAGGTGTGTGGCACCCCAGTAGCAGGTAGGCAAAAAGTTGCCCTGAAAGATCCAACCTTACAGAACAGGCCTATTATCTTAAAGGTAAACTGTCTCTCTTTTGGTCTTTCCTAACTTTCTCCTCCACTGTGAGAAGCTCCCCCAGTTCCAGCCCATTTCCACTACAAGAGTGAAAAGGGCCGCCCTCAGAGACATCTCTTTCTTTGTGGTCATCAGAATTCAAAATCATACAGTTGCCTTTGCTACCCCACTGATAAAGAGACACCCTCTGAGGCCCACTGCTTCATTAGCACAGCACACCACACACATTAGCACTTCCAAAAGCAAGTGACTTGTAGGGGTCTCAAAGGCTTGCTTCCTAATGGGGTTTTTGAAATTTCTCAAGGCAGGTTTAAAGGGGAAATAATTACTATTGGATGAGCCCTGTTGTGAGTACTGTTAATGCACAAATTTAAATGAAAATACCCCATTTGGGGAGAAGTCTAACATACGCCATTCTGTTTGGTTTGACATTCCCTTCCCCCTTCCTTTGCCATATCTTGACAGAGAGGAAATTAGCATCTTCCTTGGAAAAAGAGAACAATTCAAGAATGTGTAAACCCTGCACGCAACAGAAGTGGG